GTCAACACTCACCTTGACCGCCGCCTGATGGACATGGACAACCTGAAGGGATTGAAGTTGTTTCTTGATCCACCAACCTCGACGACGACGTCCTTGGCGTAGCTGCCTTCAAGCGGTGGATGAAGCACCTCCACACCCACTTCCGCGGCAAGCTACCGGGTATACCCAAACTGTTAGGTCATGGTTGGATATGGTCTCAGTCACCCCCGTTACCTTCCGCTTACGCCTGCCAGCTACTTGGAAGATTCACAACGCATTCTATGTCCAACTTATGAAGCCCAAGCAGGATCCCAACACAATCTTCACTGGACGCCAACCGTCGCCGCCGCCGCCGTCCTCATTAACGATGAACCCACGTACAAGGTCGAGTCTGTGCTTGCACACCCTTGTCATCGGAATGGCACCTTAGAGCTTTTCATCCATTGGGTCCTCTTCACAACTACAGTACCTTGTCAAGCAGGGTGTTCCTTCTACCACCCAGCTTTGAGGAGGGGCGTGTGAGAGTACGACCCTGTTACACATCTGTCACGTTTCCATCTTATTCGCCTTTTCATTTTTGCTCCATTTGGTCTTTATCTTATCTCATTTGGTTTTCTATTCCCCAATTTTCATTATCCTTTGGTTGATCCTATTAGTAAAATTGTATCACCGACCAAGCTCGGGATGTACTGGCTAACTCTATCCAGCATAATCCAGTCATAATCCCTTAAAACCAATTGTTTTGCATGGCTATACGCAGGGTGATCCCATTCTCTAGAAGGGTCTATTCCCTTTGGATAGGATAAACATGGTTCCGTGATATGCCTTGGAAGTCTAAAAGGGCCTTGTATCGATCGATAGTGCAACTTTCTCTCGACCATTTCGATCCTGTGACACTTGGTAATCAGAGCTTCTCTCACTCTTCCATGCACAGCTAAATAGCCGCAGAGGAAAAATCTGCCTCGGAAAACTGCCGAGGGTGACTAATTCGGGGAAGACTTTGGTAAGCACCAGCTTCGCGTGTTTTTTGTTTTGTATTTTTTTCTATATTAATAGATTTAACCCCCTCATGTGGTTTTGAACATGATGGCGAACTTCGACAATGCCGAGGTTACCCAGCAGCTTTTCAAACCGCATCGCCGCCCTACAGGAAGAGATGCGAGCTGAGCGCGAAGCGAAGTGATACGAGTTCGAGCAAGTAATTCGCTTCACTAGCGCGCAATATGAAATGACAACGGTGACGACGCAGTAGTTGCAGCAGTTTCTAGAGGCTCCAAAGCTGCATCCACCTGATTTGTTCGATCCGATCAATCGAAACTCTGATATCCACAAATGGATCGCCAGTATGAAATAACTTCGCAACCGTCGGATGGAGTTCGCCGGTTTGGGATGGTCAGCGCGTGCAACTTGCCGTGACAATCATGCGAGGGCCGGCACTCAAGTGGATGGGCGGCAATAGTGTTTTTATCCATGGCGAAGCCACGTGGCAGCAGTTCCGCGCTGACCTTCTCAAATGATTCGAGACGATAAATTTGTCTTTCCTTGCCTGGGAAAATATTCATCACCATCAACCGTTCTGGAGTATAGCACAGTACCTGCAACAGATGGAGAAATTTTATAACTGCATTCCCGACCTAACTAAAGTGGAAAAGGTACAGTCGTACCTCGCCGAGCTGAAGACCAAAGACAAGAGACCTCGCACCTGTATCCGAGAGACCTCGGTGGGGAAAGCACTCGAAGAAGGAGAGTATCGACACACGGGCAGAGTATCGGCCTCGCAATAGTGGTAGGAACTCTTCGGCCAATCAGAAGACAAGAAGTGAAAATCGCCAGCGATTGCGGATCTAGCTGGCGAAAAAAAGGAAAACATCCGAAAACTGCTGCGGGATCCCAGGAAAATCGACTTCAACAAAGCTAATTCGACGCAAGCAGGAGGAAATGATAGGGAAAAAAACTCCGCCCCACGACCAGTTTTCGCTAGGGAAAACCGCAGAGAAAAAAAACTGACGTTGCAAAAAAAACTTTGCCAAGACAGAGAAACTCCTAGAAGACTAAAGAAATTAAAAGGATTCCTAAAAGTTATCTTATAAAGTTGCTTTAATGAAAACTTGTGATTCTCGAGATGCCAGAGCCATGGAGAAATTACGGAAGGGACTCCAAAAGAAGCTGAAAATTCTGGAGATGGTGACAGTACCGGAATACGTCGAGAAAAGAATTAGGAGTATGGAAAGGAGCCAGCCTTTCGACGGAGTCAACGTCCTCTTCCGACACCAGCCCATAACAATTGCCCATTCCCCAAGGAAGACATCGGTCAAGCTGAAGGAGCTCAAGTGGAAGTTGGAGGTCTACAAAAAGTTGCAGAAGCCCTGAACTCCTCATTCGGATACATCCAAGTCAACGGCATTGACGACACGTACGGTCGTCAAGGAAACTCTTGGCCAAGGGGAAGAACCCTTCTCCAAGCTACCTTGGCCTGCTGCCAGCTCAGGAGTAGATACTGTTATAACCACAATAGGCTCAAATGTGCCTAAAATGAGAGAAATTGTGCACGGTCAGAATTCCGTCAGACAGCTTCAAATATTTATGCCGATCTGATGCATGCCTTAAACAGTGATCTGTAAAATGTATCTGGAGCATGTTGCTGTCGCCTATCAGCAGCAAGTTGAATCATTCAATTCCATGAAGATTTGACGACGCTATGGCGGTTTGACTGGCAGGAGGTACAGCAACGACTATAGTCTTAGGAGCACAAAAAACTTAAGAAGAAGAATTCGAGGTAGGGATGGTTTCCAGCCTCTACATACCCCAAGAGCCGAGGTCCAATTTGGTGGTACACCACCACAGAGTCCCCAACCATGAGGAGACTCGAAACAAACCCAACAAGGGGCTACACCAAGTGAAATGTAACACTACTTGAAGTAGCATTATTATTTTCACTATTTAATATTTGTCCACGTCCCTTGGGCTTGAAATCTTGAGCTTTTGGTCTTGGTTCAGCAAGATCAATTCTTCTTGAGATGATGACGGCTTGCTGCACACACCTGCGATGAGATGGACACTTCACACTCAACAAAATAGAGAAAGCACATGCGACGCGCAAACGACGACTTGACATGCGAGTTGTGAAAACTCGCTAATGTCTTGACCGACACAAACCACATAGTGAAACACCATTCAAACACACACACAAGCACTAGATAGAAATAACATAGACTCACAAGTCATTCCATGCTATACATGCACACACACAAACAAGGACGACAAGCCGAGTGCAAGCCATAGGGTTGCACCAACAGATGCAGTTACAACGAAAAGGTGTGTACGAAATATTGGGATGTACCATATGATCGTATCAATGAAACTATATTTGGGTACTCCGAGCAATGCCTGTCCCTTATGCTCGAGGTCATCTGCAAAGGGGGATGCACTTGTGGACAGCAGAGTGTCACACACCATGTATGCGACAAGGCAGCAATCGACCATCTTCGGAAAGAGTGCAAGCCTTCAGCATTTTCTGCAATGATTGTGGACAGTAGCAATTTACCTATCTATGGCAAAGTAGTGTTACCTCTACAAATTGGACCACTTCGTTGGAGACCTGCCCTTCCCATCACCATTATCAAAGAGCTTCATTTGATCTTTGGGAAATATTTTATAATAAATATCAACCCTGAGAACAAATAGGTCAACTGCACCGCAAACGTCTACAACCAAGAGAGGAGAGTCCAACTACCAAACTGGGCAGACACTGGAGATATCCTAGTAGAGACACTCACCAGATTCAAGAAGGACGTAAAACGAATCGACATCGGGCTCGTGGCGATAGCAACAGATACACAAGATGACGAAAAGAACTCCTCGGACTTCATAATCGAGTTACAACCTACCATTTGCAATCATGATGCAATCCTTGTCGTTATTGACAAATTCTCTAAAATGGGACACTTCATCCCGACACACATGACAGTACACACCAAGAAGACGGCACAACTGTCCGATCGCTACATCATCGGCATTGCAACCACACTAGATCGAGATCCTATGTTCACCAAACTCGCCATGTCCTCTGCATGCCACCAACAAGTAGACAGACAGACCGAACGCCTCAACCAAGTTGTAGCGCAACTCCTCCGTGCTGCATGCAAGGATAACGTCACTAATTGGAACTTACACCTACTCTTTCTGGGGTTCGCCTATAACAACGCCACCCATGCCGCTAAAGGACCGACACCATTTTCGATCTGTTACAGACGCAAACCGCCCACAACACAAGAACAGACAGTACCAGCCATAGTCCAACCTACACATGATTTCATCACCACCATGCTTCGACTTTGGGATTGGACTCATTAGTGCCTCATCCACATTCAGCAACAACAGAATCGTCAATCTGATTGCCATAGGAATGACCACACTATCACCGTGGGAGAGCGTGTTATACTCATCACCCACAACCTCGACATTAGCCATCTTCCATCCAAGCTAGGATCTCGCTTCTGCAGGCCTTTTCTCTTTGAAGCACAAGTCATCCTCACAACCTAAGACTTATGCTTGCTAGCTACTTGCAAGATTCACAATGCCTTCCATGTCCAACTTTTGGAGCCCTACCACAATCCCAATACGATCTTCACTAGACGCCAACCGCCACCGCTGCCACCCGTCCGTGTAAATGATGAACCAGAGTACGAGGTCGAATCTGTGCTACTGTCCTCAAAATGGCACTATAAACCTTCTCATCCATTGGAAGGTTTATTATCATTCCAAAGGTATCTGGATCTCTGAATCTGACATGGGTAATGCTCGTCGTCCTTTTCGTGACTACCTTGATAAGCAGGGTGTTCCTTTTACCACCCAGCTATGAGGGGAGGGTGAGAGAGTATGACCTCGTTATACTTATTTCTTATTTCTATATTCTTCTCTATCGCATTCTCCTTTTTATATTCTGATTCATTTGGTCATCACGTTTGGTTTCCTACTCTAAAATTTTCCATTACCCTTTGGCATATCCTATTATTATAATTATATCACTGACCAGGCTCAGAATGTATTGGCTAATACTACCTAGCGTAATCTTGCCGTAATCCCTTAAAGCCAATAGCCTCGCATGGCTATATGCAGGGTGATTCTATTTTCTAGAAGGGTCTTTTCTCTTTGGATAGGACAAACATGGTTACCTGACGTAGCTTGGAAGTAGAAAAATGCCTTGTATCGATCGATAGTGCAAATTTCTCTCGACCATTTTGATCTCGTGACAGCTCCCTTGTTTCTTTGGCTTCCCTCGTGATGGCTAATGCCCTTGCTCTTTCTGCTTTGGGTATTGTGTGAAAGTACTAAAAGCCATTTCTTCCAAAGCCCGGGTCAAGATCTGGCAGGTGCGTCCAAGTGGTGAACGAGATGTCAGTGTCTGATGTGTAACGGTCAAGAACAAAGTCCAAGACGAAGACACTGGACTTCATGATGGTCATCCTGATGTACAAGCCACCCTTTCCATGGTATAGTCAGACTCCTATTCGTCACGGTCGCACTCCAGTGAATGCCCTTTGTCATTAGCTGACTGATGCTGAGTAAGTTGTATTAAGGTTGTCAACCACCAGCACCCGCGACATCTGTAGCATGACGCTTGTCTTGAGTGACTATGCTGGACCATTACTTATATTGTGGGGTGCAGATTCTGATTGTTGGCGACCGTGATAACAGATTCACGGCTTAGTGTTTTTCCATGTTGGACGGAGCGCGCCGAGGAGCATATGTGTTGCCTACAGCAACTGTCGAGGAACCAAGTGTTTCGCCCAGAGGGTTCTTTGAGCGTGATTTCTACATATGTTGGATTTGGCTGAAGTTGGTTCTGGTTCGGTGCAAGTGGTGCATTATCGGGATCGTGAGTTTGAGTTGATTCCGTTACGCAAGAGTCTGTGCGACGACGTTGCATGCCCCTAGTGCAGGTCACGACGAAGGTGTTGGCGGCCGCTGCTGGGTCAACGCAACTTGATTGCTGGATGAACAGAATGGTCAAGGCTGATGCTGCTGGTGTCTGGGACAGTTAACTCTTGAGCCTCCTGGTGTTTGGCATAAATGACAATACGGAGGTACGACGTGTTTCTGATTGTGCCCGTGCTGTCGCCCGTACGTGTAAAAAGCAATCTGTTGACTTGGCTTCATCGTGTGTCATTCTTAGTAAAGGTCCATGTCCTACTGCTGTGCGTGAATTTCAGCGCAAAGATGCTTCTCCCATGGGCTCGAAGACGGGAGCACATGGCGCCCTATTGTGGACCGAGTCCAACACGGACCATTGTGACACTATTTCTTTCGATAAGTGTCATCAGCTTCGAATAAATCTGTCGCGTAGTCGTCTGCAGCGACTCATGTATACCATAGCCTTTCCCCCTTTTTGCATTTGAATCATTGTCAGCTGGACCATGAGTCGACTTTGTGTCATGCAGTCTGACGCTTGGTAAATGCTTTTAAGGTGGCAGTAAGCCTGTGAGAGTACGACCCCGTTCCATTCCTCTCTCCGTTCCATATTCCCTTTCCATTCCATTCCTCTATTTATCCTCGTTCATTTTGCTTTTATCTCATTCCATTTGGATTCCTATTTCTCCTTTACCATCAACCTTTGGTTTATCCTGTTATTATCATTATGTCACCGATTAGGCTCAGGATGTACTGGTACACTATATCTGGCGTAATCCTGCCGTAATCCCTTAAAGCCAATAGCCTCGCGTGGCTATACGCAGGGTGATTCTATTTTCTAGAAGGGTCTATTCCCTTGGGATAGGATAAACCTGGTTACCTGATGTACTTTGGAAGTATAAAAGCGCCTTATACTAATCGATAGTGCAACCTTTCCTCGACACATTCGATCTTGTAACACTTGGTAATCAGAGTTTTTCTCACTCGGCCGCGCTCAACAAAGCAGCAGCAGCAGCGGGAAAACCTGCCTCGAAAAACCGCCGGGGGCGACCAATTCGACGCCGATTCTGGTAAGCACCAGCTCCGCGCTTTTTCGAATTACCCCCCCCCCCCCCCCCGCGCGTGTTTTGAACAGGATGGCAACCGTCGACAACGCCGAGGTTACCCAACAGCCCTTCGCAAGCATCGCAGCCCTTCAGGAGGAGATGCGAGCATATCGCGAAGCGTGGCGAAACGAGTTCGAGCGAGTAACTCGACTCGCCGGAGCGCAACACGAAACGACAACGGCGACGACGCAGCAGTCACAGCAGTTTCTCGAGGCTCCGAAACCGCGCCCACCTGAGTAGTTCGATCCGAGCGATCGAAACTCCGACGTCCGCAGATGGATCGCCGGCATGGAGATCTACTTCGCAGCCGTCGGATGGAGCTCGCCAGTCTGGGACGGTCAACGCGTACGACTCGCGGCGACACTGATGCGAGGACCGGCACTCGAGTGGATCGGCGGTAAGAGCACCTTCATCCATGACGAAGCCACGTGGCAGGCGTTCTGCACCGACCTGCTGAAACGTTTCGAGCCGAGAAATTCGGGTTTCCTTGCCCGGGAAAAAATCCATCGCCATCGACAGTTCGGGAGTGTAGCGCAGTACACGCAGCAGATGGAGGAATTTTATAACCGAAATCCCGACCTGACCGAAGGGGAAAAAGTATAGTCTTACCTCGCCGGGCTGAAGACCGAAGTCAAACGATAGGTGGCAGCGACAAACTACGCGAGCTACAGTGACGTCGTTTCGGCAGCGGAGCGCTTCGACGTGGTCAACGCCGGAACACGACGGGCGCACGTCGGTAGTATGCGACAGAGCGACCGCTCGGCTCACCCCACGTTCGCCGACCCGATGGAAGTCTGAAAAACACCAACTTCACATGTGATTTTTGCGGGGTGCCGGGTCATCGAATCTTCGACTGCAGCAAAATGAAAGCCGCACGCGCAGAGTATCGGGCACGCAACAGTGGCGGAAATCCTTCGGCCAATCAGAAGCCAAAAAACGAGAGTCGCCAGTAATTGCGGATCTAGTTGGCGAAAAGGAAAAGATCCAAAAGCGGCCGCGGACTTCCGAAAAAATCAACTTTGACGCAGCTGATTCGATGCGAACAGAAGAAAATGATGGCGAAAAATCTCCACCCCACGACCAGTCTTTGCCAGAGGAATTCGTCGAGGGAAAATCAAACTACGCGAAAAGGACTCAGCCGAGACGGGGAAACTCCTTGAAGACCCAAAAAATTATAAGGGTTCGTTAAAGTTATCTTATAAAGATGCTTTAATGAAAACTTGTAATTCTCGAGGGGCTAGAGCCTTGGAGAAATTACGGGAGGGACTCCAGAAGAAGCAGAAAATTGTGGAGATCATACTGGTACTGGAGACCTTGGGGACCAAATTAAGGAGTGTGGAAAGAAGCCGACCTTTCCACGGAGTCAACGTCCTCTCCCGACACCAGCCCACAGCGACTACCCGTTCCCCAGGGAAGACGTCGGTGGAGCTGAAGCAGCTCAAAAGGAAGCTGGGGGTCTACAAGAAGCTGCAAAAACCCCGAACTCCTTTGGATGCATCCAAATCAGCAACTTTGTCAACGAAACGAACATTCGTCACGGAAACTCCGGGCCCTGGAGAAGAGCCGTTCTCCAAGCAGCCTCGGCCAGCTGCCAGCTCAGGAATAGGAAGCAACGAATATTGGGATGTACCCTATGACCTAATGAATGAAACAATTTTTGGGTACTTCGAGCAATGCCTGCCCCTCGTGATCGAGGTCATATGCAAAGGACGACGCCTCCAAGCACTCGTGGACAGCGGAGCATTCACACCGTATGCGACAAGGCAACCATCGACCGACTTCGAGAAGAGTACAAGCCATCAGCGTTTTCTGCAACGATGGTGGATGGCAGCAAGTTACCAGTGTACGGCGAAGTAGTGCTACACCTACAAATCGGTCCATTGCGCTGGAGACCTGCACTCCCCATCACCAACATAAAAGGGCTTGACCTGATCTTCGGGCGAGACTTCCTAAAACGATTCAACCCCGAGATCAACTGGGTAAACCGCACCATAAGCATCTACAACAAAGGAAGGAGAGTCCAGCTACCCAACTGGGACGATACAGGAGATATCCCAGTGGAGACACTCGCCAGATTCGAGAAGGACGTCAAGAGAACCAGCACCGGATTCCTGACGATAGCAACAAAGGTGGAAACCAACGGAGAGAAGACCTCAGAACATCCAGGAAAAATCAAGGAATTACTGAAGGAGTTCCAAGACATTCTCCCCGACGACCTCCCGGACGAGCTACCGCCATACCGAACGCACCAGCATGAGATCGTGGAGGAACCAGGTTCGAAGCCGACGTTCTGAGCACCATATCGGCTCAGCTCGACAGAGCTAGCCGACATGAAGAAGCAAATCGAGTATCTCCTCACCAAAGGACTCATCCGACCATCCACTTCACCATACGGTGCCCCATTACTCTTCACACCGAAACCGGACGGAAGCCTGCGCATGTGCATCGACTACCGAGCTCTCAACAAGCAGACCATCAAGAACAAGTATCCGATTCCACAGATCGATGATCTGCTCGACCAGCTTCAGGGAGCCACATTATTTTCAAAATTAGATCTGCGGTCCGGATACTGGCAGATAAGGATGGCGGACGATTCCGTTCACAAAACAGCCTTCTAAACTCGGTACGGATCGTACGAGTATCTGGTAATGCCGTTCGGAATCACCAACGCACCGGCAACGTTCCAAGCAGAAATGAATCATATCCTATGCCCACTCTTGGACGAATGCGTGGTGGTGTACCTGGATGACATCCTTGTCTACTCGCACGACATGCAACAACATGTCGAGCACCTACGACGCGTCTTCGAAATTCTTCGACAAGAACGGTTCTACGTCAAACTATCCAAGAGAGACTTCGCCCTCGAGAAAGTCCAATTCCTCGGACATATCATAAGCGCTCAAGGATTTCACGTCGACCCCAAGAAAATCGAAGCCGTATGTATGTGGAGGACACCCGAGAATGTGAAGGAGTTACAGCAGTTCCTTGGCTTCGCTAACTACTACAACAAGTTCGTGCCGAAATACGCGAAGATCACCGCGCCACTCACGAATCTGCTGAAGAAGAACACGCCCTATAAATGGGGGCCACAACACCAGGAAGCCGTGGAGCAGCTAAAGCAAGCACTCACGTCCGCACCAGTACTCATCTTGCTAGACCCCGAACGCGACTACGTCATCGAAGCTGACGCCAGCGACCAGGCAATGGGAGCAGTCTTTATGCAAGACCAGTGGAATGGACTGCAACCAATCGCTTACCTCAGCAAGAAACTTCACGGAGCAGAACTCAACTACCCAATACACGACAAGGAGGCCCTGGCTATCATCGTTGCCTTCAAAACGTGGAGATGATATCTAGAAGGATGCAAGACAACAGTCTACACCGACCATTGAAGCCTAAAATATTTGATGACGCAACCAAGCCTCTCCAGGCGACAGGTTCGGTGGATCGACTTCCTCGAGACGCACTTCCACTACGACATCGTGTACAAGCCTGGCCATAAAAACAAAGCAGATGCGCTTAGCCGGCCTGCACACGTTGCTGCTATCCAAGTTGAAGGGATGAATCCACTCCTCAAGGGACTCTTCACACACGGGTACACCATCGACCCCGAAATTCCCTTGGCAGAAAAGCGGCATCTGCTATAGTGGGACAATGACATCGCGTACCGGAAAGGATCAACGAAGATCCGGGTACCTAATTACCCTCCATTGCGCCAGTTACTACTCAAAGAACACCACGTCGTCCTGTACGCAGGACACTTCGGTAGCAACAAGACGCTCACCGGTATCGCCAAACACTACTATTGGCCCCACATGGCAGATGACGTATAGAAATTCGTCACCTCGTCCACTACATGTTAGCGGATGAAGAGCAGCAAGCAGAAAAAGGCGGGTCTACTACAGCCTCTTCCTGTCCTAGAACAGCCATGGCAAGTGGTCAGCCTAGACTTCATCACCGGGCTACCAACTACCACAAGCGGTCATGATGCGATCCTCGTCGTCATTGACAAGTTCTAAAAAATGGGACACTTCATCCCGACACACGCGACAGCACGCACCGAGGAGACGGCACAACTCTTTGTTCGCTACATCATCTCACAACATGGCATTCCAACCACACTCATCTCCGACCGAGACCCTAAGTTCACCAGCAACTTCTGGAAAGAACTCATGTCTCTACTCAGGACCAAACTCGCCATGTCATCCGCCTACCATCCGCAGACAGATGGATAGACCGAGCGCCTCAACCAGATTGTTGAGCAACTCCTCCGAGCAACCTGCAAGGACGAGATCTCCAAATGGGACTTGCATCTGCCCATCCTGGAGTTTGCCTACAACAATGCCACTCACGCCGCTACTGGACAGACGCCGTTCTTCTTCTATTACGGACGCCACCCACTCACACCTCAACAGCCAGCCATACCAGCCACAGTCCAACCCGCTCATGATTTTATCATGACTATGCGCAAACTTTGGGATTGGACCCACAAGCGCCTTCTCGACATTCAGCAACGACAGAAGCGCCAGGCCGATTGCCACCGCACAGACCACTCCATCACCGTGGGAGATCGAGTCCTACTCGACACACGCAATCTTGACATCAGCCATCTCCCATCCAAACTGCGACCTCGTTTCTGCGGGCCTTTTCTCGTTGAAGCACAGGTCACTCCTGTTACCTCCCGCTTACGCCTGCCAGCTACCAAGGAGATTCACAATGCCTTCCATGTCCAACTTCTGAAGCCCTATCGGGATCCGAACACGATCTTCGTCGGACACCAACTGCCGCCGCCGCCGCTCGTCCTCGTCCATGATGAACCCGAGTACGAGGTCGAGTCCGTGCTTGCTCACCGCCATCGACGGAATGGCACCGTGGAGCTTCTCATCCATTGGAAGGGTTATGATCCTTCAGAGGATAGCTGGGTCTCTGAATCCGAGATGGACCACGCTCGTCGTCCCCTTCGAGAGCGTGGTTCCATTCCTCTCTCTGTTCCATATTCCCTTTCCATTCCATTCCTCTTTTTATCCTGATCCATTTGGCTTTTATCTCATTCCATTTGGATTCCTATTTCTCCTTTACCATCAACCTTTGGCTTATCCTGTTATTATCATTATATCACCGACGAGGCTCGGGATGTACTGGTACGCTATATCTGGCGTAAACCTGCCGTAATCCCTTAAAGCCAATAGCCTCACGTGGCTATACGCAGGGTGAGTCTATTTTCTAGAAGGGTCTATTCCCTTGGGATAGGATAAACCTGGTTACCAGGTGTACTTTGGAAGTATAAAAGCGCCTTGTACTGATCGATAGTGCAACCTTTCCTCGACACATTCGATCCTGTGACAAAGCCAGCTCGGCTGAGTTGCCAAAAGCTCTGTGTGTCCTGATATTCTGCCGCTCTGTTGGTTATGAGTTTCGAAGGAGAATCGTGTACCCTATCAGTGATTGATAAGTGTATACCTCCTCCTTCTCAGTGCCATTGCTTAGATAATCATAAGTACCCGTGAAGAGGCTCAAAAATTGAGTGCCCTCCATTATGAGCTCAAATTCGAAGCTCCATGTGTAGAAGTCCTTTCGATTGAAGAGGACGAAGTCAGCCGCTTCAAGATACTGGCAAACTACGCTTGCATTCCCAGGACTTCGTTCGGTCTATGGCTTAGTGAGGATGGTGCCGCTGGTTGTCGAGTCTGCAGGAAGTTGCAGAATTCCGGTGCTGATTTCTGAGGTGGGTGTTGAGTAGATTGATCATTGCCTCTTGCGAATGATGACCCGTTGATGCTCATTGACGCCACAACGGTGAAGACGTCCTTCTCATTGTTGTTGCTGTTTGAATGTTGAGCAAGTGACTAAGGATGCTCATAGAGTGACATGAAGAAGAAGAGCTTCTGTGCGAAGCTCAGTCAATGCCCAAAAAGGGGGGGGGGGGGGGGGGGGGGGCACTTGACCTGTAGATCCCCTTGCTACTGCGCCTTCAGTTGCAGCTGCCTCTGTCTGCAACTCAGTGATTGGTGACGCAGATGCCTCGATGCGGGGGGAACTAGTGGAGGATTCTGTTAAGACTAGAAAGTATAGATAGAAGAAGGGAGAACAAGGGAGATATAGCATTTGGGTTGTACCCACTAAGAACATACCCTATCTAGCCTATGACTTCTACATAACAATATATGTATAAGTTGACACACCCCCTAGGCTAGAGAACGGGTAGTGCTGAGCAAGAAACACATAGCTCTCAGTGGCACTACTAGTCCAACCTCTGAGGCAGGGGCCCGAAGACCAGTCAGCAAGAGTACAAGCAAGACATAGCAAACCAGGGTGGCACTACTAGTCCAACCACTGGAGGAAAAACCACAAGGCCAGTCTGCAAGGTCTAAATAGAAAAGGGTACACAATCAAAGGCCTAGCAAGTGAGAGTTATAAGGGACTAGACCTAACTGCAAGCAGTGCCGTTGATGATCTCTAGGCGAAAGCGCCTTAGTAAAGATATCAGTTGTGTTGGCACCCGAGGCCAAGTGTGCTATGCGGGCCTGGCGTCGCTGCTGAAGCTCGCGCAGGAGGAAGTACCGCAGCTGGATGTGCTTCACTCTACCCTCTAGTCGAGGCTCCTAACACAGGAGGATCATGGCCCTGTTGTCAGCGCATAGAACCGGGGCAGAGCTAGGCTGCTCACCTAAGTCGGCAAGCAAGAAGGTCAGCCAGCGGAGCTCCTGTGCCACCATGGTACCGGCGTAGATCTCAGCCTCGCAAATAGACTGAGCAACAGACGAGGAGCGAGTGGACCTCCACGAGACGGCACCAGAACCAAGGCTGAAGCAATAGCTCTAGGAGGACCGGAGGGTCTCACCATCATCTGCCCAAGTAGCCTCTGTGCGCCTAGTAAGGACCACTGGCCTGCGTCCTCCTAGCACTAGCCCCATGTCCGATGTACTTGCAAGATAACGCAAAACTCTCTTAGCGGCCGACCAGTGCTGTGGTCGGTGTCTGCCTGTGGCCACAAAGCGGGCCAGGATGCTGAGAGGGAATGCGAGATCTGGGTGAGTGCAAGTCATCAGGTACATCAGGCAACCCACCAGCTCTGCGTAAGGACCACTGGGCTCTGCTGACTCCTCGGGAACTGGAGCTGAGAGCCTGTGCTCTACCGGCAGAGGTGTGGGCTGTGCTGAGGAGAACTGAAGACCAAACCTCCGAAGGACCTGGCGCATGAGGTGTGACTGTGTAAGAGAGATGGTGCGCGCTGCTCTGTCTCTAGAGATCTGCAGGCCAAGGTAGCGGCGCAGCTCTCCAAGGTCAGTGCAGGTGTGTCGCCTCAGCAGCTCAGCCTTCACAGAGGCATGCGTGTCTCTGTCTGCTGTAGCAAAGACCAGGTCGTCAACGTAGACTAGGATGTAGAACGGAGTCTGGCCAGTACGAACGAAGAGCGAAGGGTCAGCAGAGAACGGAAAGAACTGAAGGTCACCTAGCATGGCACGCAGCGTATCATGCCACTCACGGGGCGCCTGTTGTAAGCTGTAGACGGGGCGCCGGAGGAGCCACTGGGTCCCAGGAGGGAAAGTACCAGTGAAGCCCTGAGGGTGGCGCATGCAGACCTGCTCGTGTAAGCTGCCCTGAAGGAAAGCAGTGGAGAAGTCGAGGGAGTGAAGCTCGACGTAGGTGTCGGTAGCCCTCCAAGATGCCATCTCCTGCTCCATGGCAGCTATCCACTGCGAGGCCTAGGGTCCTGAGGTCGCCTCAGCGTAGGTGCGAGGGGTCGCGATGTCAATGGCAACGGGGACACCCTCAGGGACTAGCAGCATGGAACAGAGATGCGGAGCAGCCTCTGACAGGAAAGCAAGCTCGTAATGCTGGTCCTCCAAGACTTCATTGCGGAGGGCAGAAGCACCCCCGACAGACGGAGGGCAGACAGGGTCAGAGACCAGAGCGGTAGCACAGTAAAGGCGGCGAGTAGAGGCAAAGTCAGCGACAGCAGCTACAAGAGCGTCAAGACTGGAGACAGGAACAGACGGGTCGGTAACAAGGGAGGCAAGGACCCGAGGAACAAGAGGACGAGCAGCACAAAGGTAGTCAGACAGAGGGGGAGTCGCGACAGTGAGCAACGACGGAGGAGGCGAAGGCAAACGGGGAGGATGAGATGCGTGGGAACGAAGCAATGTAGGGTGAGAACACTGAACAGGAGAGACAAGACGAGCACGAGAGGGACGGCGAGACCAGACGTTAGACGGAGGCGTCGGGTAAGGAGAGAGTAGAGGAGTAACAGGAGGGGAACGAGAGGGGAAACGAGCCGGGGATGAGTCCGGGAGAGGAAACACAGGACCGTGAATAGGAAGAGGGGGAGACAGCGAGGGAGGCGCAGGCGAGCGATCAGGGGAGGGAAGGCTGAGCAGGTGAAGGGCGGACACCGGCGGTGACTGCTGCTGCTGCTGCTCAACGCTGACACGTGGACTACCAGCTGCACCACTACTACCTCCGGTACACTCCACGCTAGCACCCCCAGAACGAGAAACGTCTCCAGCGCAGGTGCCACACCCAAGCCCGCCGGGACAAGCCACAATAGGAGCCCCAGGACTAGCACCCTCCAACTGCAGCACCCTGAGAGTCCACGAACGGCTGCGGCTGCGGCAGCAGTGACGGCAGCAGTTGCGGCGGCGACTGCGACGAGGGAGGAGGAGACACCGGGGGAGGGACATTCGGCGCAAACAGCGTCGCGGGGCCACGAGAGTCAGCCGACTCCTCGACCAAGACAACCGGCAGGAGGGGAGTGACGTGAGACACACCGGACAAAGCAGTGCAGGGAGGGAGGGGAGCAGGGGCGACCAGGGAAGTGGGAACCAGAAATAGGGGAGGGGGGGAACCGGGAGACCTTGGTGAGGAAAGCGGTGGAAAAAGGAGACAGACTCGTCAAAAGTGACGTCACGGGAGTGAAGGAAGCGGTGAGACGACGGGTGGGTGAAGTGCCAGTCAGACGAGTCAAGGGGGAAAACTGTGAGAGTACGACCCCGTTACACCCCTTGGCCTTTTCTTATTTCCTTCCCTTTTTCATTTCTCGTTTTACCGCATCTCATTTGGTTTCCTATTTTCCATTTTCCATTATCCTTTGGTCTCTTCCTTTATTATAATTATATCACCGACCAGGCATGGAATGTACTAGAGACGTTATCCAGCGTAATCCTGCCGTAATCCCTTAAAGCCAATAGCCTCACGTGGCTATACGCAGGGTGATTCTATCTTCTAGAAGGGTCTATTCCCTTAGGATAAGATAAACCTGGTTACCTGATGTACTCTGGAAGTATAAAAGCGCCTTGTACCGATCGATAGTGCAACCTTTCCTCGACACATTCGATCCTGTGACACTTGGTAATCAGAGCTTTCTCACTCGGCCGCGCTCAGCTAAGCAGCAGCAGCGGGGATCCTGCCTCGAAAAACCGCCGGGGGCGACCAATTCGACGCCGATTCTGGTAAGCACCAGCTCCGCGATTTTCGAATTACCCCCTCCGTGCGTGTTTTGAACAGGATGGCAACCTTCGACAACGCCGAGGTTACCCAGCAGCTCTTCGCGCGCATCGCAGCCCTTCAGGAGGAAATGCGAGCGGATCGCGAAGCGTGGCGAAACCAGTTCGAGCGAGTAACTCGACTCGCCGGAGCGCAGCACGAGACGACAACGGCGACGACGCAGCAGTCGCAGCAGTTTCTCGAGGCTCCGAAACCGCGCCCACCTGAGCCGTTCGATCCGAGCGATCGAAACTCCGACGCCCGCAGATGGATCGCCGGGATGGAGATCTACTTCGCAGCCGTCGAATGGAGCTCGCCAGTCTGGGACGGTCAACGTGTACGACTCGCGGCGACACTGATGCGAGGGCCGGCACTCGAGTGGATTGGCGGCAACAGTACTTTCATCCACGGTGAAGCCACGTGGCAGCAGTTCCGCGCCGACCTGCTGAAACGCTTCGAACCGATAAATTCGAGTTTCCTTGCCCGGGAAAAAATTCATCGACACCGACAGTTCGGGAGTGTAGCACAGTACACGCAGCAGATGGAGGAATTTTATAACCGCATTCCCGACCTGACCGAAGGGGAAAAAGTACAATCGTACCTCGCCGGGCTGAAGACCGAAGTCAAACGACAAGTCGCAGCGTCAAACTACGCGAGCTACAGTGACGTCGTTTCGGCAGCGGAGCGCTTCGACATGGTCAACGCCGGAACACGACGGACGCACGTCGGCAGTACGCGACAGGGCGACCGCTCGGCTCACCCCACGTTCGCCGACCCGATGGAAGTCGACAGATTCGAGGGGCGGCCACGTCCGAAAAACACCAACTACACGTGTGATTTTTGCGGGGTGCCGGGCCACCGAATCTTCGACTGCAACAAAATGAAGGCCGCACGCGCAGAGTATCGGGCACGCAACAGTGGCGGAAATCTTTCGGCCAATCAGAAGACAAAAAACGGGAGTCGCCAGTGATTGCGGATCTAGCTGGCGAAAATAAAAAGATCCGAAAGCGGCCGCGGGATTCCGCAAAAATCAACTTCGACGAAGCTGATTCGACGCGAGAAGGAGGAAATGATGGGGGAAAATCTCCACCCCACGACCAGTCTTCGCCAGGGAAAATCGCCGAGGAAAAATACGACTCCGCGAAAAAAGACTCTGCCGAGACAGGGAAACTCCTTGAAGACCCAAGAAATTATAAGAATTCGTTAAAGTTATCTTATAAAGATGCTTTAATGAAAACTTATGATGTTCGAGGGGCTAGAGCCTTGGAGAAAATTCGGGAGGGACTCCAAAAGAAGCAGACAGCTGTGGAGATTATACCGGTACCGGACAACTTGGGGACCAAATTAAGGAGTGTGGAAAGAAGCCGACCTTTCCACGGAGTCAACGTCCTCTCCCGACACCAGCCCACAACGACTACCCGCTCCCCAGGGAAGACGTCGGTGGAGCTGAAGCAGCTCAAGAAGAAGCTGGGGGTCTACAAGAAGCTGCACAAACCCCGAACTCCTTCTACGGATGCATCCAGTTCTTCGGCATCAGTGACGCGCACAGTCGTCAAAGAAACTCCGGGCCCTGGAGAAGAGCCGTTCTCCAAGCAGCCTTGGCCAGCTGCCAGCTCAGGAGTAGACAACAACACAAAGGTGTGTACGGAATATTGGGATGTACCCTATGACCCAATCAATGAAACTATCTTTGGGTACTCTGAGCAACGACTGCCCCTCGTGCTCGAGGTCATCTGCAAAGGACGACGCCTCCAAGCACTCGTGGACAGCGGAGCGTCACACACCGTCTGCGACAAGGCAATGATCGACCGACTCCGGGAAGAGTACAAGCCTTCAGGATTCTCTGCAACGATGGTGGACGGCAGCAAGTTACCAGTACACGGCAAAGCAGTGCTACATCTACAAATCGGACCACTGCGCTGGAGACCTGCACTCCCCATCACCAACATCCAAGGGCTTGACTTGATCTTCGGGCGAGACTTCCTGAAAAAATTCAACCCCGAGATCAACTGGGTGAACCGCACCGCTAGCATCTACAACAATGGACGGAGAGTACAGCTACCCAACTGGGACGATACAGGAGATATCCCAGTGGAGACACTCGCACGATTCGAGAAGGATGTGAAGCGGACCGACACCGGGTTCCTGGCCATAGCAACAGAGGTGGAGAATGACGGAGAGAAAGCCTCGGAAACTCCAGAAAAAATCAAGGAAATACTGAAGGAGTTCCAAGACATTCTTCCTGACGATCTTCCGAACGAGCTACCGCCATACCGAACGCATCAACACGAGATCGTGGAGGAACCGGGTTCGAAGCCGACCTTCCGAGCACCATACCGGCTCAGCCCTACGGAGCTGACCGACATGAAGAAGCAGATCGAGTATCTCCTAGCCAAAGGACTCATCCGACCATCTACTTCGCCATACGGTGCCCCAGTACTCTTCACACCGAAACCGGACGGAAGCCTGCGCATGTGCATCGACTACCGAGCTCTTAACAAGCAGACCATCAAGAATAAATATCCGATACCGCAAATCGATGACCTGCTTGACCAGCTTCGGGGAGCTACGGTATTTTCCAAACTGGATCTGCGGTCCGGATACTGGCAGATACGGATGGGGACAACTCTATCCACAAAACTGCTTTTCGAACTCGGTACGGATCGTACGAGTATTTGGTCATGCCGTTCGGACTCACCAACGCGCCGGCAACGTTCCAAGCCGAAATGAACCACATTCTACGACCACTTCTAGACGAATGCGTGGTGGTGTACCTGGACGACATACTCATCTACTCGCGCGACATGAAGCAGCACGTCGAACACCTGCGACGCGTCTTCGAAATTCTTCAACGAGAACGATTCTACGTCAAACTGTCCAAGAGCGAATTCGCCCTGGAGAAACTCCAATTTCTAGGACACTTGGTGAGCGCTCAAGGAGTTCACGTCGACCCCAAGAAATTCGAAGCCGTACGTACGTGGAAGACACTCGAGAACGTGAAGGAGTTGCAGCAGTTTCTAGGCTTCGCTAATTACTACAACAGGTTCGTGCCACAGTATGCGAAACTCGCGACACCACTCACGAATCTGCTGAAGAAGAACATGCCCTACAAATGGGAGACGAAGCACCAGGAAGCCGTGGAGCAGCTGAAACAAGCACTAACGTCCGCACCGGTGCTCATCTTGCCAGATCCCGAACGTGACTACGTCATTGAAGCAGACGCCAGTGATCAGGCCGTGGGTGCAGTCTTGATGCAAGACCAGGGGAATGGACTGCAACCAATTGCCTACCTCAGCAAGAAACTGCACGGGGCAGAACTCAACTACCCGATACACGACAAAGAGGCTCTTGCTATCATCATCGCCTTCAAAGCGTGGAGATGCTATCTCGAAAGACGAAGAACGACCGTCTACACCGACCACTGCAGCCTGAAATATTTGAAGAAACAACCCAACCTTTCCAGGCGGCAGGTCCGGTGGATCGACTTCCTCGAGACACACTTCCACTACGACATCGTGTACAAGCCCGGCCACAAGAACAAAGCAGACGCTCTCAGCCGGCCTGCACACGTTGCCGCGATTCAGGTCGAAGGGATGAATCCACTACTCAAGGGACTCTTCACCCACGGGTACGCCATCGACCCCGAAATTTCCTTGGCAGAAAAGCGACATCTGCTACAGTGGGACAGTGACATCGCGTACCGGAAAGGATCAACAAAAATCTGGGTACCCAATTACCCTCCTTTGCGCCAGTTACTACTCGAAGAATACCACGACGTCCTGTACGCCGGACACTTCGGTAGCAACAAGACGCTCACCGGTATTGCCAAACACTACTACTGGCCCCATATGGCAGACGACGTCCTGAAATTCGTCACCTCGTGTGATACATGTCAGCGGATGAAGAGCAGCAAGCAGAAAAAGGCGGGACTACTACAGCCTCTTCCTGTCCCAGAACAACCATGGCAAGTGGTTAGCCTGGACTTCATTACCGGGTTACCACCTACCTCCAGCGGTCATGACGCCATCCTTGTCGTCATTCACAAGTTCTCCAAAATGGGACACTTCATCCCGACACACACGACGGCATGCACCGAGGAGACAGCACAGCTCTTCGTTCGTCACATCATCTCACAGCATGGCATCCCAACTACACTCATCTCCGACCGAGACCCCAAGTTCACTAGCAAGTTCTGGAAGGAACTTATGTCTCTGCTCGGCACCAAACGCGCCATGTCATCCGCATACCATCCGCAGACAGACGGACAGACCGAGCGCCTCAACCAAATTGTTGAGCAACTCCTCCGAGCAGCCTGCAAGGACGACATCTCCAAATGGGACTTGCACCTGCCCGTACTCGAGTTTGCTTACAACAATGCCACACATGCCGCTACTGGACAGACGCCGTTCTTCCTCTGCTACGGACGCCACCCAATCACACCACAAAAACCGACAGCATCACCTACAGTCCAACCCGCACATGATTTCATTACAACCATGCATCAACTTTGGGATCGGACCCATAAGCGCCTCCTTGACATTCAACAGCAACAGAAGCGCCAGGCCGATCGCCATCGCAACGACCACACCATTTCCGTGGGAGACCAGGTGCTCCTCGACACCCGCAACCTGGACATCAGCCATCTCCCATCTAAACTTCGACCTCGCTTCTGCGGGCCTTTCCTCGTTGAAGCACAGGTCACTCCTGTTACCTTCCGCTTACGCCTGCCAGCTACCTGGAAGATTCACAACGCCTTCCACGTCCAACTTCTGAAGCCCTATCGGGACCCGAACACATTTTCGTCGGACGCCAACCGCCGCCGCCACCGCCCGTCCTCGTCCAGAATGAACCCGAGTACGAGGTCGAGTCCGTGCTCGCACACCGCCGTCGTCGGAATGGCACCGTGGAGCTTCTTATCCGTTGGAAGGGTTATGATCCTTCTGAGGACAGCTGGGTACCTGAGTCCGACATGGGTAACGCCCGTCGTCCTCTGCATGACTACCTTGTCAAGCAGGGTGTTACTTCTACCACCCAGCTTTGAGGGGGGGAAGTGTGAGAGTACGACCCCGTTACACCCCTTGGCCTTTTCTTATTTCCTTCCCTTTTTCATTTCTCGTTTTACCGCATCTCATTTGGTTTCCTATTTTCCATTTTCCATTATCCTTTGGTCTCTTCCTTTATTATAATTATATCATCGACCAGGCATGGAATGTACTAGAGACGTTATCCAGCGTAATCCTGCCGTAATCCCTTAAAGCCAATAGCCTCACGTGGCTATACGCAGGGTGATTCTATCTTCTAGAAGGGTCTATTCCCTTAGGATAAGATAAACCTGGATACCTGATGTACTCTGGAAGTATAAAAGCGCCTTGTACCGATCGATAGTGCAACCTTTCCTCGACACATTCGATCCTGTGACAAAAACGAGGAAGACACATGGGACGGTGCGGGCAGTGATTTTTTCCGTGCCGGAGGCACGAACGTGAGCGAGGCCGGCCCAGACGTGGAACGCAGACGCGTCACCAGGAACCCGGTCCAAAGAAGGGTCGGCGAAACCTGCGGCCGCTGAGAGGTTAAGCTGGTGAGCAGCGTGGCGAATGGCGAACGGCCACAGAAAATGGGGTGCACCGGTATGGATTATGGAGGTATGAGCCACCTCCATGACCAAACCGATGCGTCGCTCAGCGACCCCATTCTGCTGCGGGGAGTCCGGTAGGGTGTACATCTGGGTGATACCCTCCGCACGACAGAACTGACCCAGCCGACCAGAGGCGAACTCGCCGTCACGGTCGGAGTGGAGACACAGCACAGGGAGACCGCGGTGGAGGCACGTAGAGACGAGCCACGTGATAAGAACGTCAGGCACGTCGGCCTTCCGCTCCAGGGGAAGCACCGTGGTGTAGCGCGTGAAGTCGTCAATGAGCACTAGAAAGAAGCGCTCGCGACGCGGTCCAGGGACAGGGGCTAGGCCCCAGACGTCCAAGTGAAGGGTGTGAAGGGGTGCAGTGGCAGGGTGAAGTGAGGAGGAGTGAGTAGCACGGCGCAGCCGACCCTTGACGCAGGGCGTGCACGGCGGCGCAGGCGACGGAGGGAGAGCAAGGAGCAAGGCAGGGAGGCCGAGGACTAGACCGTGCTGAGACATGTGACGCAGGCAGGGGAGCACGGGGTGACCTAGGTGTTGTGTGATGTCATCATATGTTATCACATTCTGTCTGCCTCCCATCCCTTGTTTCAATTCGCACGTATGGTTTGACTGTGTGTGAAAGAATTTGTGTGGTGTGTTCTGGAGTTTGGGAATGTGTTTTGTGTTATTCTGTCTGAGCAGGTATTTGTGATAATAGATCTTGAGAAGATCTTTCCGACGCAACAAGAATCGCTTCAATCGGAGCAAGAACGCGAAAGCTATGAAGATTCAAAGTTCATGAGCTTGCGTTACAATTGCGGCGGTTACTAAGTGAAGTTGTGGGGTGACTTATATGGAGTTGGGACCTTTGGGGTTGGGGAAATTCGTCACTCTACTGTAACAGCTGCAAATTGGTTGGGAACAACCAAGCTAGGTTGGCAAGGGTGGCCAACTTGGATGGATTGGTTGGGAAGGGACAAATGTCAAAGTTGGGGTTCCTATAGGGAGGGAATCTTTGTGCTTATGGGGTTTCCTTGGTTGGGGACTCTCTTGGGACCTTCCCTCTCATCCCTCTCTTCTATCCCAACCTTTCTCTTGCTCCTTCTAATTCCTTGTGAGATTCTTGAACTTTGATTGAACTCTTGAGATTGAGTTAAGTTCTCCTCCTACAGCTTACCCCCTAGTGCGTCGAAAGCCATAGCGTCGCGAATACTTCATCAATCAACGTGATTCAAATTGGGAACGGTAGCTGAGATCAAGAGCTACAACATATCCAAGTTTCGCGACATTCCAACGGCTAGTGTTTTGTCGACGTCGTTTCTTGTGAAGACGACTTTTCTGTCCAGAATTTCGGATTTATATTTTGAGTAATTCTAGCTCCTAAGTTCACCTAGACTCTGTCCTTAATCCTAACAAGTGGTATCAGAGCGATATTAAGGACATTGAGAGGAGTCTACAGAAGTGTGAAGACCCTTCTAGACCCACCATGGCCTGTGGGTGTGCCTAAGTGGTGTTCTAAAGGTTGGATGTGTCTTCCGCTAAGGGGAAACTCTGCCGAAATTTCGTGGACGCCGACACTTGTGAAAATATCGAGGGAGCTGAGTGTGGACAGCAAAGGGGAGCTGAAATTCGTCATTTCTCAAGGAGAAGATGAATGAGAGAGGAGGAGATGCTAATGGAAGAGGAGCTGTAGCTGAGAAGACAAGTGAGCCGCCGCCATCAAAAGTTGAAGCTTTGGATGGCTCCAACTATGAGGAATGGAGCGGACGGATGAGGAGTGCCTTCAAACGCTACAAGCTCCTGAAGATTGCTGTTGGGGAAGAGAAGATGCCGGAAGAAGGCGAAGCACGTGAACGGTGAATTGAGAAAAGCGCGGTGCTTTTCGACCTCATTCTTCAATCGGTCAACAAGGAGATGTTCGAGCACATCAAGGATCTTGTGGAAGCGGATGATTCGGGTCCAAGGGCGTGGAAACTACTACGTGATGTGGTTCAGCCCAACACTCTCCCGATGGTGATCGTGCTCGAGAAGGAACTTGCTGCCATCTCCATGCGACCAGGGGACGATGTGAAGCCGGTCCTTGACAAGATCAAGGACACCTATGCAAGGATGGCAGCAGCGGGCAGCAGTGTATCTCAGCTGCAGCAGTGCACCAAGATCATCTCGGTGTTGGACAACTCTTGGGACAACCTCATCCCCACCCTCAACTCTCAGCAAGATCAATGGACACCTGAGTGGCTAAGGCAGCAGATTCTGCAGGAGGACTTCCGCAGACGCCATGTGGGAGGCGGTGCTGCCACTAAGACTGCTGAGGGGTATGGAGCTGCAGGGCGCAGCAGAGGAAGAGGGGGTTGGAAAGGCCGAGGCCGTGGGAGGAGCTTTGGCAGAGGTAGAGGCCGAGGTGACTATAATGAGGGGCATGGGAGCTCTAGTGGCAGGGGGAGTACCAGAATGGAGGGCACGTGCTGGTACTGCAAGAAGGTTGGGCATCCTTGGTTCAAGTGCTTCAGCAGGCTGGAGGGATGGGCACCTCCAGGCATGAAGCCGCCCAGTGGTGAACGCGCACAAGGTGGCGCTGTGCAAGGCTCAGGTGCACAAGGTGAAGGTGCACAAGGTAATGCCTATCCTGGTTTGTTTGTTATGGTTGAGGATGTGCATGGGCATGAGGGTGATGTGGGATCTGTGGGAAAGGTTGTGATGCACCCTCTCACGCACTGGGTGATTGATTCGGGTTGCACCAGTCACATGACTCCACGGGCAGATTTGCTTGATGAGGTAAAACCCCCTGGGAAGATTAAGTATGTGGCAGCAGCGTCAGGTGCTTTGCTCCCCGTGATTGGTGTTGGGAATGCCAAGGTTAAGGGAGCTAATGGGGAGCTTGTGGGGCTTGGGAATGTTCTGCTGGTTGAAGGCTTGTCTGCTAACCTTCTCTCTGTGCGACGACTGCAGAAGAGCAAGGCCGAAGTGACCTTTGGACCAACCAGCTGCCGTGCTAAGCTTGGGAAGAAGGTGCTGTGGAGTCTGGAAGAGGAGACCAGCTGCATCAAGGACCTGTGGCAGCTGCCCATCATCCCATGGAATGGGAAGACTCCAACAGCAGCAACGGCAGCAGCGGCAAAGGCAACAGCAGGAGGAGATGCAACTGCACCAACTGATGGGGTCCTGGAAGCAGTCAAGAAAGTGCAGCAGCAGCAGACACATGGTGAGGTGCTTGCTGGTGTGGATGCAAGTGCGGCATGGGCTAAGGCTTCACCAAGGAGTGGAGAGGCCGATTGGGAGACATGGCATGAGAGGCTGTGTCATGTGAACTTCCCTATGCTGCAGAAGTTGGTGAAGGATGGGAGCCTGAAGGGCTTGGAGGTGAAAGGGGGAGTGAAGGAGATTGGGAGCTGCCCTACATGCTTGGAGACCAAGTTCTCCAAGTTCCCCTTCAACAGCACTACAGGACCAGCCAAGACCCCACTTGCACTTGTGCATATGGATGTGGTGGGGCCCACAAGAGCCCCTTCCCTCTCAGGCAGCCGCTATTTCTTGACAATTGTGGATGACCACACTCGGGCAGTGTGGGTTTACCCTTTGAAGAGCAAGGGGGAGGTGGCAGCGGCTGTCCTTAAAGAGTGGATGCCGAGAGCTCAGAGGGAATGCGGACACAAGGTGAAGGTGATCCGTAGTGACAATGGTGGGGAGTTCATTGGAGCTGATTTTGAGGGGGAGTTGAAGAGGAAGGGGATCCAGCATCAACTGACAGTGCCCTACAACCCACAGCAGAATGGCGTGGCTGAGAGGTTCAACAGGACCCTGCAGGAGGGGGCACGCACTCTCCTTGGGCGTGCAGGGCTGCCTGATCCGTTTTGGGTGTCTGCACTGAGGCAGGTCGCCCTTGTGAAGAACAGGGTGCTGGCTACAGTTGGAGATAAGGAGTGGATCCCATACGTCAAGTGGTATGGGAGTGCTCCAGCTGTGAACATGCTGAGGGCATTTGGGTGCATGGTGGTGTTTCATGTGCCTAAGGAGAAAAGAGGGAAGTTGGAGGCTTCTGGAAGATGGGGTGTGCACTTGGGGATTGCAAAGGATCACAAGGGATGGCTTCTATGGGACTTGACCATCCAGAAGCTGACAGTGTCAAGGGATGTGAAGTTTCTTGAGTCCCTGTACTATAAGGAATGGAAGCAGCAGCAACAGAAGCTTCCATCTACACCACTCATTGTGGAGGCAGATGAGTTGCAGCAGCCTTCAAGGCAGGTGGAGGTTGCAGTGTCTGAGGAGGAGATATCTGGGGTGACTGAAGAAGGGGGAGCAGCTGAAGTGGAGCAGCAACAGCAACATGAGTCTCCACCTCGAGTTCCACACCCGCCTGAGCGACCTAGGAGGGATGTGCGCCCTCCTGTGAGGCTGACCTATGGGGGAAGAGGCAAGCCAAATGTGGTGCAGGCTGGGAGTGTGGTTGAGCAGATTGAGGAAGATGAGATCGCTCACTGCTACTGGGCACCAATCCCTGAGCCCAAGACTCGAGAAGAGGCCTTGAATGGACCAAATGGGGAGAAGTGGAAGGCGAGTGAGGATGAGGAGTTCGGGTCCCTAATTGAGAACGAGACATGGGACCTGTGTGACTTGCCTCCTGGAAAGAAGGCAATCACTTCCAAGATGATCTACAGGCACAAGTATGGACCTGAAGGGGAGCTGACCCGCTACAAGTCTAGGCTTGTGGCACGGGGGTTTCAGCAGACAAAGGGGAAGGACTATGATGAGGTGTTTGCTCCTGTGGGGAAAGGAACAACACTGAGGGTGCTGTTGGCGATAGCTGCACTCCTGGGATGGAAGATACGGCAGATGGACATTGTGACTGCTTTTCTGAATGGGATCATTATGGAGGAGGTGTACATGAAGCAGCCAGAGGGGCTGGATGACGGGAGCGGCAGGGTCTGCAGGCTGAAGAAGGCCATCTATGGCCTTAAGCAGGCGCCTCGTGCATGGTATCACAAGTTGGAGGAGGCGCTGTTGGCTGGGGGTTTCAAGAAGAGTGAGTGTGACCCCAGCCTGTTCCTGCTGCAGGAGAAGGATGAAATCCTCATGCTCTTGGTGTATGTGGATGATATCCTTCTCTTTTCTGCATCCACTGCTTTGCTGGACAGCGCAGAGCAGATGCTGGAGATGCAGTTCAAGTGCTCCAAGATGGGTGAGGTGAAGTACTACTTGGGGATGCACGTGGAGAGAGATGTGGAAAAGGGTGTGCTGAGGTTGCACCAGAGGAAGTACTGTGAGGGGCTGGCTGAGAAGTATGGGCTGCAAGATGGGGGAAAGCCAGCAACACCACTACCTTCAGGGTTTACTGTGGAGCCATGTGCTGATGAGGAGGTAGTGGGTGAGAGTGACAGGAAGCTGTTTCATTCGATGGTTGGGTCGCTGAATTATGCTGCAAATCATACACGGCCTGACATTGCATTTTCTACATCACGGTTGGCTAGTGTGGTCTCACGCCCTAGTCATGAGCAGCTGGAAGCGGCCAAGAGGTTGGTCCGCTATGTGAGTGCTACGGCATCAGTGGGATTGGAGTACAGTGGAGTGAGGCAGCGGTTGCAGAGAGGTGCTGCAGATGTGAAGAGTGGAGAGATGCTCTTGAGTTGCTATACTGACGCTAGCTTCAACTCAGTGAAAGCGGATGGCACCAGCATTGGGGGTTATGTGTGCTTGCTAGGAGGTGGTGCTGTGAGCTGGCGCAGCAAGAAGCAGAATGAGGTGGGATTGTCCTCATGTGAGACTGAGTACATGGCCTTACACCATGGGGCCAAGGAAGTAGTGTGGCTAAGGCGTTTGTTGGAGGAGTTGGGAGTTGGTCAGGAGGAGCCGACAGTTGTGTTCTGTGACAATGAGTCTGCTGTGAAGCTCGCCAAGAATGCTTGTCTGCATGGGCTGACAAAACACATAAGGCCTAAGTGGCACTGGGTGAGGAGACTCCTTGATAAGGAGGTGCGGCTGGAGATAGTGAAGACCCATCAGCAGGCAGCAGATATTTTCACTAAGCGTCTGGCGGAGGCGGATCATTGGAAGGGCATGAAGCTTGCTGGGATGAGTGTGCATTGAGTATGCATGCTTGAGATGTGGTATGGTCGATGATGGTTGGCAGCCAGAGGGGGAGATTGTTGTGTGATGTCATCATATGTTATCACATTCTGTCTGCCTCCCATCCCTTGTTTCAATTCGCACGTATGGTTTGACTGTGTGTGAAAGAATTTGTGTGGTGTGTTCTGGAGTTTGGGAATGTGTTTTGTGTTATTCTGTCTGAGCAGGTATTTGTGATAATAGATCTTGAGAAGATCTTTCCGACGCAACAAGAATCGCTTCAATCGGAGCAAGAACGCGAAAGCTATGAAGATTCAAAGTTCATGAGCTTGCGTTACAATTGCGGCGGTTACTAAGTGAAGTTGTGGGGTGACTTTATATGGAGTTGGGACCTTTGGGGTTGGGGAAATTCGTCACTCTACTGTAACAGCTGCAAATTGGTTGGGAACAACCAAGCTAGGTTGGCAAGGGTGGCCAACTTGGATGGATTGGTTGGGAAGGGACAAATGTCAAAGTTGGGGTTCCTATAGGGAGGGAATCTTTGTGCTTATGGGGTTTCCTTGGTTGGGGACTCTCTTGGGACCTTCCCTCTCATCCCTCTCTTCTATCCCAACCTTTCTCTTGCTCCTTCTAATTCCTTGTGAGATTCTTGAACTTTGATTGAACTCTTGAGATTGAGTTAAGTTCTCCTCCTACAGCTTACCCCCTAGTGCGTCGAAAGCCATAGCGTCGCGAATACTTCATCAATCAACGTGATTCAAATTGGGAACGGTAGCTGAGATCAAGAGCTACAACATATCCAAGTTTCGCGACATTCCAACGGCTAGTGTTTTGTCGACGTCGTTTCTTGTGAAGACGACTTTTCTGTCCAGAATTTCGGATTTATATTTTGAGTAATTCTAGCTCCTAAGTTCACCTAGACTCTGTCCTTAATCCTAACACTAGGCAGTGGTGCCACAACAGTGACAGGTGAGTGAGCGACCGACACGAGTAGGCCGCAGCTACCTGGGTGGACGCAGAACGAGAGGAGGACTCTCCCGCCAGGTGGGGGAGCAGTGTCCAGCGAAAACAGGCCAGACACAGGGTTCCGGGGGAACGTCGCAAGGGGGGCACCTGAGGCGGCCTCGGTACTGACTGCATACAGCTCGTGACCAGGGAACGTTGTGGTGATGCCGAGGTCTTGAAGCCAGCCGACACCAACTAAGTTCCTGGAGAACGAAGGGATGCGCAGGCCCGTAAGGGAACCCGAGGGAACCGCCGGACAGGGAAGGGTAGTGTAGCTGCAAGCAACTACAGGTGCAGAGGAGGGGTCCGCAAGGGCGACAGCAGCAGGCGCAGCAAGCAGCGTGAGGGCGGCGTGGTCGCGGAAGAAATAGGCTGACGCAACGGAGTCAAGTGTGAAGGACAGCAACACCGTAGTGGCCGACAACGGAGGAGCAAGGGTAGAGCCTAGGCTGTCCTACGCCTGACGCAGCAGGGGAGTCTAGACTACACACAGGTACTACGCCTAAGCTAGAGAACACAAAGTTATAAGATTTGGAAACACTCGAAGCATCAGCATACAGAGAATGCAACGCAGAACTAATCTGATCCATGTCTAAGTCAAACACAGGCACACCATGGCGCAGCAGGCTGGGCCAGTCAGGGAGGACTGGGGCGGGACCAAAGGGGCGACGGAAGAGGTCGTTGAAGCGGCGGAAGCATCGGGCGGTGGGGTGAGAGTGGCGGCACACCGTGCCACGCAGGGGCTTGGTCTGAAGCTGGTACTGGCAGCTCACAGCACCGAAGCTGCTAGTGGACGCCGAGCTGCGAGGGCCACCACTACGACCACCACCGCCACGGGCTCCTGGCCACCCGGGCGGGAGACGAGCCCATGGCTGCTGCTGGGACGGCTGCTGCTGCTGCAACGGCTGCGACTGCGGTCACTGCTACTGCTCCTGGGCACCAGCATCAACCCCCTCATCAGAACCACTGTCCCAGCCACCACCACCACTAGCGCCACCTCCACGTCCTCCCTTGGGGCCACGGCGGCCCCGGCGCTGGCGCTGCTGCGGGAGGCCGCAGCTGCTGTCTCAGGTGCAGGCGCAGTCGTGGCAACTGTAGCGGAGACGTCAGCGTACGTGCTCTGGGAGGGAGCACATCCCTGAAAGATAGGGACTGGCGCAACACCACTCGACTGAGCGATAGTGCACTGGCGAGTCTCTATCTCAGACAGAGTAGTGACAAAGGCGGTCAGGGTGAGGTCGGCAGGGTGTTGACTAAGGAAGTGGTCGCGGGCAGTGGCTAAGCGGTCACGCAGGCGCATGGCGATGAGGTACAGGGTAGCGCAGAAAGGTGGGGGGAAGGCAGTAAGCTGGGTGGCAAAGCTAGCAGCGCGGTAGCTGGTCTCTAGTGCACTGAGGTAAGTAGCGAGGTCAGCTACAGTGGGGAAAGCAGAAAGATCAGGGAAGAGCATGGGTAGGATCAAGCGGCCAGCAGAGGCAGAAGCAGTTGTGGAGTAACGCTGAACTACTGCAGCGAGAAAGTCCTTGGCGTTCGCGACAGCGGTAAAGCGCGAACGCTCAGACACGGGGCGGGCATGGCTAATGACAAGCTGGGCTACTGCGTCGCGAGAATCCCAGACAGCTCGAGCAAGCGCACCAGCAGCAAAAGCCTCGCTCTCAGCAGTGGTAGGGTCAGCAAAGAGGGGAACAGGCGCAAGGGGGCGGGGAAGCAAACCATCAACATGCATAGCCAGGGAGTGCCCATCCTGGCACTGACATGTTAGGTGCTGGCGGAGGTCGACGAGCCAGGCGGCGAAGTCAATCGCGTGCCCCTCAGCGTCCAAGCAAAGAACGGCATCCGCCATCGCACAGTGTGACAGCGGCACAGCGGGAGAGGCGGCAAGGGCGAGCGGGGCCGGCAAGGGCGTGTGGGGCCGGCGAGGGACGCGGGGGGAGGGGGGGGGGGTAGGAGCACGAGGGGCCGTAGGGACGTGAGGGGCCGGCTAGGGGTGCGAGGGGCCGGTAGGGGTGCGACGGGGCCGGCTAGGGGCGCGAGGGGACGGTAGGAGGCGCGACGGGGCCGGCTAGGGGCGCAAGGGGCCATAGTGGCGCGTGGGGCCGGCTAGGGGCGCAAGAGGCCATAGGAGCACGATGGGGCCGGCTAGGGGCGCGACGAGGCCGTAGGGGCGCGCTAGGGCCGTAGGGGCACGACGGAGCCGTAGGGGCGCAACGGGGCCTACTAGGGGCGCGACGGGGCCGTCGGGGCTTGACGGGCCCGTAGGGGCGCGACGGAGCCTGCTAGGGGTGCAACGGTGCCGTAGGGGCGCGACGGGGCCGTAGGGCGCGACAGGGCCTGCTAGGGGTGCGACGGGGCCCTATGGGCATGACGGGGCCGTAAGGGCATGACGGTGCCTTCTAGGGGCGCGACGGGGCCGTAAGGGCGCAACGGGGCCTGCTAGGGGCGCGACTGGGCCGTAGGGGCGCGCGGGGCCAGCTAGGGGCGCGAGGGTTTGGTAGGTGATGGCACGGGGCGGAAGCGGGTGGGTGGACCTACCTACTCGTGATACCATGTTAAGACTAGAAAATATAGATAGAAAAAGGGAGAACAGGGGAGATCTAACGTTTGGGTTGTACCCACTAAGAACGTACCCTATCTAGCCTATAACTTCTACATACCAATATATGTATAAGTTGACATATCCTACGTCCTTGGTGCCATGTTGTTGTCTTGCACCATTGACTACTGAGTAATGGTTCACGAGCCAAATTCTGGGTAGTAGTGTTAGAAACTCAATCGAAGGAGTTTGTAACATGAACCTTCTCTCCGACAAGCTCTCACACCATCTTGGGCTAAAAACAGCCCAGGGATCTTTAGCAAAGACAATAAGTCCTTTTATAGGCAAGGTGCTTGATAGCATGGCGGAAGTCTAAGTTGGACCCTTGTAGTGATGTGTTATAGCAAGGGCTTAAAATACCTTTCCAAGAGAGTACAAAGAGTCTAACTAACTATGCACTTCATAGGGGTACATTCCCTTAACGACTCGATAAGCACGGCTCAGTTAACTACCTGAGCTGTAATACTAGGACGGTCATGTGTCCTTGTTGTCGTGCATATATTTTGGGCCTTGCACTTCTGGCTGTTGGGTTGCAGGGTGAACGACCAGCGACTGTTGCCCATCGCAACTTACGTCGTGTGTCGTCAGACGATGTCAACTGTCGAGGGGTACTGTAGCATGGTTAACTCGTCTCTCCTCGATGTTGCTTTACTCGTGTATTGAATAGGTCATGATACGAAATGCTTAAAAGCATAGGATAAAATAGCAAGGAAGGGCTTCACATGAGCCCCTCTTGAATAGGGGGAACTCTTGAAAAAAATGCACTTCTAGTGCGAAACAGGCTGGGCAATTTTGAGGCAGCTGGGCAGATACGAACCCTTAGTATTGCGCACCTACGGAAGCTTGGGACGGGCGAAATGTCGAAAGGACACCTGTGCGACGACGGCCCCCAAAGCCAGGTGCGACAGACCTGATTTTCCGCCCAAATGGTGAGACAGAAGGGACACCATAATCATGGCGTGATTACTTCAGGGTTAGTGCACCGAAGTTCACCTATCGAAATGGGAAAATGCAAGGACGTGATGACTGGTACATGCGCGCGTACACCAGGTTTGGAGAACTTTGCATATGTGTGCTGGAAAGGCTATGCCAGGGTCGATTAAAAATGTGAATACCATTAATTTTAAGAGTACACTCCAAGAATGACTCATAAAACTACGAAAACTACAATAATTAGTCGGATAAAAGGGCATTGGCCATGACCTATTTCGACCTAGCTGCCAGGTTGATTTTGGGGCTAAGGCCCTTTTGACCTGGCTATTAGCTTGTATGCCTTTTACTCTCCTACTTTCTTGTTTCTTTCCCTTTGACGCCCCTTAGATTTTCAGACATTTTGCTTCATGTTACCTGATTTTAATGTGCACATCCCAATTCAACCATTTCGTATACAAGCAATGCACTTTGTGTGTCTCAATAAAGGGTTGTTTTCATCATTCCAAGGTTCTTGACACTCCGCGAGTGCAATCACCCCAACAGGGAGTGATTGCTGCACATTGTTTTGGCACAAATCATCCTCTTTAATGTAGTGGGTAGCTAATCAATCACTGCTCTGCTGGCCTTTCCCTGATGCTAAACTCGGGGATCATGGCTGATGTTTCAAAATTTATGTTGGTGCAAAACACACTTTTGCACATCAACCTGCCGCCTACTTGCTGAGGAC